ATGTATATATATACACAGAATTACGAACACACTGAATGCGCCTGTTGTTTCATGAGGGTCTGCTAAAAACCCTTTTGGTGGTGAAAGCTTTTTCCGGGACCAACAGAAAAATGTTGTATCACTTGAAAAAAATATATATATATTTACAAAATATCGTCTTTTTCGGTTTCAATATTTTAATAAAAAAAATACACGATAAATATTACATTGTATTCATTCGAGTAAGAATATCAGTCGCATATAACTCGTGCAAATTAAAATAAACTTGTTTAACCGTTTATAGCTATGTTTCGATTTTACCAACCAGAAAATATTCACTCGACTGTAAGTGTATCAACATTCAAAGCTTAGAAAGCGTGATTTTATAAAAAAAAAAACAGAAAAAAAAGAAGGTATTTGGAACGATCAATCGTGATGCAAGCGCATGTTCTTATACCAGAATTCACTAGAAATCCTGCAATGATTTACTAAGTAAAAAAATCAGCTCATGATTAAATCAATCACATAAAAATAGCTCCTTGGTTCAGTTTTGTACAAAACAGTTATTTATTATTAAGTGAATATTCTTTAAAACACGGCTTGTGCCTGGAGTTGGTCATGTACTCGAACATTATTAAAATAGTTATGCGTAACATTCGCATACGTTTAATATATTTTCACATACTGTTTGTTTATAAAAGAGACTATTTATTGCCAGAGACACATACGGAGCAACGCATTTTCTGGTCTACCTTTACAGTTCATCTTGTTTCATATATATACTCTAATTGCCCAGAACGCCGTGTGTGTTTGACGCCTACGACACCTGTAAAATATCAGTGCAGTCTTCAATTCAACCTGCGCAGATATGTAGCTTTGCATATATCTTCATCATTGTTATGTTGAGCATGGTAAAGCTTAATGCAAAAGTTCGAAGAACACTTGACCCGGTGCGATGAGTAAGTACGTCGAAGTGTTTCCAACCAGTCAGTACATGTTACGTGACACCAGTAGCTGCTACAAAATATCGCTGGTGCGTTTCTTTACTGCTTTGGCTCAAATTGCAGTTCGGGTCAAATGTGAGATGACCCATGGAACATACGTTTGAGCGGTATTGGGCGGGTCCGGAATTTGTTTGTGACAGTCAAGGATTGTTACAAATGCAAGGCGACTACCTGTTCTGATGAATCCTAAGATCTAGTTATCTAAATGCGTCCTAGCTCCTTGAGTTTACTAAGCATTTCGTCTACGCTCTCGACTTTCGCTCCAGCCTCACGAACTGGTGGCTCTGCAACTGATATAACCTTGATTCGAGCACTAAGGTCCACACCAAGATCCTTTGCGGTCAACTTCTCGAGTGGCTTTTTCTTCGCCTTCATAATATTTGGCAGTGTCGCATAACGCGGTTCGTTGAGTCGAAGATCAGCGCTTACAACAGCTGGAAGCTTAACCTAAATCGTCGGAAACACAAAATTAGCAAAATAAATAACACAGAGAACAACATTCTCGCCTTACGTGTAGCTTGAGTCCCGCCGTTCTATATGTATTATTGTGGATATAAAACTACTGCAATATTTGTGTGAGATCGCAAAGATACAACATAAGTTAATCAAGCTACAAGCTTTTGTTACCTTGAGCCGCTTGATAGTTACGCTTTAGTTACAAAAGTCTTTCTCCGACAATTAAAACTGTATTGATATTAAAACTATGAGATGCTTGTAAACTCCTGGTTTCTGGTATTACCTGTAGCATTGATTAACTGCGTGGTAAACTGTATTAACCACTAACAAAGGTTTGCACTGCACGTTGTTTTCGAAAAAACGGCTGTCGTTTAACATTAATTAACTTAAAGAGGATAGATGGATGTGCCTGTGAAAATAATTCACTGATACATCAACGCGTTTAGGTTAGAGACTTAGTCTTGTGAATAGTTCCGGCTTGACATCCGTTCGTGTTTATGCATTACAGATAACACACTCAATGTAAAGGCTGATGAAAATCAACACAAACCTTAATATGCTCGAGTCCACCATCGACTTCACGAACAATGTTTGCAGAGTCGCTACCTTGTGGCTCAATCTTCGATACAAATGTGGCCTGAGGCCAATCCAAGAGACCAGCGGTGATTTGCGCAGTTTGGTTCGAGTCATCATCAATTGCCTGTTACATTAATATAGATTTTATTTGAACAAAAGAGCGTAGAACTGACAAAAGAGCTGGACACGAAAATATCAACCACCAGGGCATATGAATGAAGTTTAAGGTTTTTCAGATGCTGTAATATTTCGTTTACAACTTCCGCTATAACTAGCAAGTATTTTCCCGTGTCTTTTTTTGCGCCTGGGTCAATACTACATATCACTTACATTTACAAATATATAATTATGTTTATTATTATTTAACAGCAAACAATTCCATAACAAGCTCTTCCGTGAAGAATCAAGTTACCTGCTTTCCTACTAAAATAAGGTTAGCCTGTGTCCTCTCCGACAGCTTAGCAAAAATTTTGGCCACGTGCAGGGGCTGCAGAGTTGCATACTCTGCATCGGGGACCTCTACGTGAATTGCCTTATCAGCCCCCATTGCTAAAGCTGTGCGCAATGTCTCTTGGCATGCAGGTGGGCCACATGAAACTGAAATAGAATACAATGCAACAAAATGCATTCAATTATATTTAAATAAATTATAATTGACCGTTTAACTTAATAACTGATAAATTATAACTGATTAGATAAATTTATAACTGATCTTATGTACAGTGTCAATCATTAACTTAAAACAAGTTATGATTTATACATACAGTATATATAAGGGATATTCCTTCGTTAGTCTTTTCGAATAAAGAATATCCACTGTAAAAAAAAACACATTTTTAAAAGTTTTTTTTTATTTTCTCGTTCATTTAGATTCGAATTGTAGGTTGAAAAGTGATACCACTACTTACAGAGTTCATAAATCTTTTTTAGGTCCATATTTTTGTATCTTGACGACATAAAGGAAATTTCGAATAGATGCACTGACTTTAGCTTGAGAAGTCATAAGTACTATTACGTCTACAATTGTTACTATTCTATCAGCGTCATCTATTCAATAAAACCCAACACTAAGACTAAGTCATCACCATTATAATATTCATAAATTTTATAATACTGTTTTACATTATTTACGTTATTCGAAATCACTTTAAACAAGTAATTTCGATCAACTTTGGCCATTTACACTATTCGTAGATATACATGACCTTGTTTTAGGACTCCGCAGTATGTTTACGTTTTGTAAATAACATACTTGTACTATATAGTCTAAAATGAGTTGTATTAAGATATGAATGTATCTACACTTACCAGCAATGATCTCCTGAGCTAACTTTTTCTCCTTGAGTCGGACGGCTTCCTCAACAGCAATTTCATCGAAAGGATTGAGAGAGTGCTTTACACCCTGTGTTACAACTCCGGTCTGATCAGGTTTCACGCGAACCTGATTAATCAAATTCGAGCGTATGAGTGAATTCAAATCAGTAAAATAAATACAAATACAGCCTAAAATGTCGAATTACCAGTGGCATCTTACAAATGGTAAAATTCTAATTAATGCATGCAGGTGACTTGCATTAATGAAGCGCGCCCGCAGTAACTTACAGAGACCCGATTTCGTTTTCAGATCATCATCTTCGCTGACACCGCCGCTACCGCCATCTAGCACATATGTAGAAATTACAGCTTTCAAGTTCAACCGTATTAACTATATGGCCTATGAAAACACGACGACAAAATATTATCAGGACGAAAGTTGATGCGCTGGTTTTAGTTAAAATATTATAGAGGGCTGCTAAAACGGACCTGGTGAAATAACCAGTGATATTCGATTATGTTTTGATAAAAGTACTCCTTTGTTGCTACTACTATTAAGCTGGCCCATTAAAGGAAAATTATATGGAGTAGATAATATATTTAGACTTGTTTCAAAATATATTATCTACTTCATTCATACATACAAGTTACTCTTGCCTTTGTTCTATAACTTTTGTCGACGATGAAGAACACAGAATAAATTCGTAGCCCAACAGTAACTAAATAAAACCACAGATCCCAGTTGCGTTGGACATCGTTGGGTATCATCTAATGGCGCCATCTAGGCAACGTCAATCAAGCAGTACTCGAAAATATTTACTAACTAGTTGCCTATTCATCTGGTAGAAAAACATATTTTAATTTCATCTAAACTATGAAAACAATTAAAGCCAGTGAATCATTATAACATGTCACTTCTTTCTAATTGATATATTTTATTCATATTTATAGCGCTTTTAGTGCATTCGATAACATTCTCGGTTCGCGCGGTGCATTAACAAAAGGCGATATATGGTAATGGGGATATACTGTGCATACACTTTATTGTGCCAACTGGTAACCCATCACAAACCACAGGTGCCATGTCCATTTTTCAGGAAATAATATCGAAAAACAAAGTTTGGCATTTACTAGCAATACACCCTTTTACCTTAACTGCGTAGTCGACGACACGCTTGCATCCGACCAAAATTCTGAGGGACATTGTAAACTCAGTCGCTTGCCTTCGATCAACGTCCTTTCAAAAGCTTGCCTTAACGCCACCCAAACGCACGTCCCGATATCGAATCTCTATATGTATATATATATATACATATATATATATATATACTGTGAAAAAAAAAAAAAATATACTGTGAAAGAAAACAGCTAGGCAAGTCAGATTTGATTAGAAGGTTCGCACTACAAAGATAAGGTCCTTCGCGTACTACTAGTATCAAAAGCTTTACAAGAGATCCTTTTAATAATAGCTACAAGAAAGCAAACAGCTTACCGGACTCACACAACCTTAATGAAATGTTCCCGGCGGTCGTTCGTCACCAGTAGAAACGATCAAAGCTTGCACAGGTCAAAGGGAGACTGTTTTGACAACAGACGAATACACACTAAGACAGAGATAAAAACATGGCGAATGAACGCATTTGTGTTATGGGGAACTCGATTGGATTAGGGCGATCCACTGGCATAATAGTTATCGGTATCGGAATCGATACGGTTAGCTAAGTATCGCACGTAAATGTAGGCACAATTAAATATCTCAAATAGGAAATATAATGGAGAACAATGAAATACGAGTTTTCGCTTGTGCTTTCTAAAGCCTATCGAGGTGGAGTACGCATCACGTGTTAATCCGATGAAGAACTACTCAAAGTTTGGTTATTATTGAAAGCTTGATAACGGTATGCTTTAATGGAAAAGGACTTCGGGTGAAAATTGGTAGAATATTGCTGCTTACGACATCAGCCGTGACTAAAATAAAACATTAATATAGTCTAAAGGCTTTGCAATTAGTTTTGATTTTAGGTGACATGCATAGAGTGCACATACAGTGCACAGGGTGTCTATTAGCTGGCGAAAGGACGTGATGTACAATCTAAATGATAGAGTAATACGTAAAATAATTCGATAATAACGTAAGATAACAGATAATTCGGTTAATCCGAAGATAGACTGTTGTATATAAGGTAATACTGTGGATGAGTTGCGTAATCAATGTTTTTTTTTCGAGCTGCAGCATCATGAAAGAAGTTTACACTAAAGTTTGAGCTAAATGACTATTTTATTAGTATTATAAGATCTGCGAATATATGCAGGGAATAAGGACATTGCTGGAATTATGCAATAAATATTGAGCTTTACTGAAATGCACCTATCGAATGATTTTTGGAAAGCACATCAGGACGGCCCGTACTGATGGCACTACTGGCATCTTCATAAAGTAGTTCTAGTAGTACTAATTTAATAATAAACGCAGCACTACTATAATATGTTTTCTCATATAATGTAGCCATAGAAGTATCGCGCTTACCAGCGGAAAACGCAGTTTATAGAGCTATCCAGGTCTAGATTCTGCTGCTGGCGTAGCATTCATTCAAGAAGATAATGTAGGATATTTGTTTTAGATTTCAAAACAGGTCGTGGATCTGTATGTTCTTGAGTTTCATCAATGTTTTATATGCTTTTTCTAGTCTCAACTATGTGTCAAGTATTCAGCACGCCAATGTCGCTACCGGCAGAAGTTAGGCGACATTGTAAGTTTACGGAGCGTGAAAGTATAATAATACTTATAATAATAATAATAATAAAATGTCGCCGCGATGAATCGAAAAAATCGATGATTGAAGTTGACAAAGGCCCAATAATGTTTAGTTTTATTTGTAGGAAAAACTATTTTATGCTAATCTTCATCATAAACGTCTTAACTTGATCAAGCTGCAGTCTGATCTTGTCTTGAAAGACGGAAGACAAATGTGCATCTAAACTATCACTAATAATTACTTTGTGAAGCACTATGGGAGTTGGAAATACCTGCAAAGTAGGCCAATTAGTGTATTTGTATTCAGGAATATCTAATTTTTTCAATGTCCGTCCGGCAATATTAAGACTCGAATTTAGCATCCAAAGTGGACACCGTTTTCCTTCATTAAATCCCTATTAAAGATGGTTCTTGCTTGAACTCATTAAGAAGAATTAGCTTAGGACCGGTTTGCCAGGCCTTGATTTGTTAAGCAACTTTAGAAGAGAGCAGCGGGTCAGTTCAGTAATAACATACTACTTCACGGGCGTCGGCAAATTGGCCAATCTGGATCACCCTCAAATTTTGACAAATTCACAATTTAATCTAAACCTAAGACAGGAGTTAGGTTCATGCTTAACATATACTTTTTGCTATTAAAACATTTTTAGATTAAAATTGTATATCTTTCAGTAGGACGTGTGAAGCGTGTCTTCCGATTTAATTAGTATTTGCTGATTTCAGTATGAAGACAACTTTGTGGAGATCGTAGATTTTTTTTCATTGATGGTCGTTTCTTTCATCCTGAATATAGCTCACATCGATTGCTAGTGAAGTGTTGTTTGTTGAACATAGCGACAAATTTGCTTTAAAATCTGCAATAAAAACAAACTTAAGGAACAGTTACCTTTAATGAAAGACCAAGCCGATATTTTTTAAGAAATTGAACTAAAAATTCAGCCTTTTTCATGCCGTTTAGTAGACTGTCTTAAGCATTGCGTTTCACAATAAACAGTATAGAAATTTAAGAATGTATCAAAATATGAGAGCAAATATGAGTCTGATAATAATCGAACTCTTTTATTTAATCACATGCGTGATCATCATATAAGGTAGATATATACATTTTTTTGAAAGTATCTCGACGACTCTGACTATGTGACTTGCGTTATTACGACATAATATTAGTTTCAGATTATCGATTGGCAGAAACTCTTAGAACATTTTTTAAGCTACTTAAGTAATAATTGAGTGATACATTATCAAGTAATTAAGGTTGTACGTGGAGGCAGAGTTGCCCAAAAAGCAGTGTACATCAACTGCATTGTTACAGTATCCTGGGCCGTCACTGGTTCAAATCATGACGTTGGCAAACGGTTACCATGGCAGACAATTTGCGTTTCGTTCTCATCGGTTGTTGGAGAAATCCAAGATAGGTTCAGCAGAATCCGCCCTAACTAGACCTTCTAGTAGGAGCAGGTTTTTAGTGTAAAGGTGATACAAAAAAACTTATTCACATAATAAAAGTAGTCAAAAGTATGATAGAAAAAAAGGTAAAGCCAGAAGCAAAATAAACATTTTGCTCTAACCACATATCTTATTAAAAATTAAAATAAATTAATTGTAAGATTAAGAAAACCAAAGACGTTTTTTTATGTGATGAGTTCATTGAGAATTGCCACTACTCCCTACAGGATTATTTTCCTTAGGCCTTTATTAAAGCCTTTCGTAGGAATTCCACCATTGACCAAGAGTGTAGATGTTCACTAAATTGCAGCAAACGTTGATTGACCACACGTTATAATGATAGATAAATGCGAAAATAAACAAATGATAATGCAGTCAGTTACATAATAGCTAATTTCCTTTATTAATGACGTTTAATGCACGTGTGATCTATTACTTACTCGTCCTCGACGTCTAGCAGGAGCTTCAGCGGCTTTGTTCCTATGCCGCAGCAGAAGTTCAAAGCGCGGGCTCTCGTCCTGCTTGTGGGAAAAATCGCAGGGTGGCGTTGCGATCTTACTCTCCGGCAATGTGTGCCATGTCCGACGGCAGCGTCCCGTGGGGGTGGGAGGCGGTCTGGGAGACCCGAGGATCCCGACCCGCCGGGGACAACATGAGACGTATGGGTTTTATAAATTGTGCAAGTACAGGAGTTTGCCGGGGCCAGTGCGTCACAAGCATTAGAGTTTAGCTTTGGGGAAAAGCGAGTTTGTGGGGTTGGCTCTGGGGTAGTCTGATGTTAAGGAGAATCGGGGGGCGGGGGGGGGGTAATTGAAGACCCTTGGCGCATGCGTACGACGTCCTCACTGTCTGTTTTGACTGCGCGCGCATCCTGCGAGCATAGATCGAGCGGAGCGACGACGGGACCCGAAGCTGAGTGCTAGGCTCAGGAGAGCAGGAGTAGTATGAGTGGGTAGCCCTTTGCTGCAGCTGCAGTGCCAACTCTATAGGAAAAGCACACTATTCTGAAGCGCTGTCTGCCTGACTGGCAAGGTAGCTAACTGGTTCAGGTGCTCGACACCGCGCACAGTCAGTCCACTAGCGTCGCGCTGTCGGTAACTGAAGATTGAGACGTTAAGACAGGCGAAGCTATGATGAGCTACGAAGTCCTTGTTTAGACGATCTTAAGCTGACGAGTTATATAAATCATCACCAGCGGCGCCGCACGGAGTTCGCCGCGACCGCCAGGTCGGTTTGACCATTAGCCGATTGTCCTGGGGTACTGTGACTGTGTGGATATTGAGCAAACAAGGATATTATAAGATAACTGACGTAGTTACATGAACAGCGACAGCTGAACTCGAGATGTGCTTCCTACCGTCGTTTTCTTACCTTTATTCGTTGGCTTTGTCCTATTTGAATCTTTGCGGCACCGCCGTCATGTTGTCGATTCTTATTGCTTAGTGGCGGCTGTGTGAGAAACGTGAAGTCGTTAGCCAGAAGAGTAAGAAAAACTGTGTGGAATATTCGGCGCGGGGAAGCAAAATTCGCAGACTCAGAATCGTAGATTACGTGGCGGGTATTACCTACGCCACAACATTAGAAATACACAGAAAAGAGGTCCACCATCCGTTTCTATATTGGTTTTTCGAAATCGTGGAATTCTGTCGACAAAAAAAGAAACTTGTGAAGAATGATCACTATTGTCACTATTGTCGTAAAGGAAAACGCATTGAACGACTTATAAACTTGTAAGATCAAAATTATGAATGTGCCCTAGAATCACTGATGAAACGGTTGTTAGATCCGACGGTTGTGTGAACGGTGCCCTAAAGCCTTGCTAGTTTGCGTAGTTGAATTAACCACTCAATTGGATCGTGTAAGAAAAAACACTCAAAAATTGTCTTACCAATGTATCCTGAGGAAAAATGGGGCTTTATGCCTATGGCGAGTCGCACGATTCTGGCACGATAATAATACGGAACCTCAGCGGTTTGCAACGGTATAAAACTGGACGCGCGTGGCTACGGGTTTTGTCTTCGTGAAGCACCACTGAGCAGTTTTTCTTTCTACCTGTCTAAATTTGACTCAGGTTTTACTACTCGCAGACAACGTGCGAGTGAGTCCAGGTTTGTCTCCACTGTTCGCTTCAGATGGTTTGAGTTCTTCTGTCCTAGAAAACTTTTTTAATGTTCTTCAAGTTGTCATGAGTGAATCGGTGGCCAGACCGGATACAATAAGTTCTGACGAGCGGGCTAGAATTTCCTCCTAGTTTAAAAAAGCTACTGAGAGATATTCCCTCAGCGTATTCAGCCATATACGGCTTCGCTGCACTCGGAAATTTATACTTGAATTAGCTTGTTGTTCTATCACATTTCGGTGTCGCTGCGAACATTTCGAATGTATATTTGTTGCGCATATGTACGTAAAAACAGGACCTAAGACGGTCACTAAACGAAACAGGGTGCCACGCTTCAGAGCCATGGATTTGCCAATTGATTCTGGAAAGCGTGCGTATGTGTCTAAAAGCTAGCGAGAGCTACTCGATCACGGGGTCACCGATCGACCAGGTAAACATCACTAGGAGAAGCATACAACAACGGAACGCCGAGTCGGCAAGCAGCCTAAATTAGCCGTTCGCCGCTTACGCTGTCGTCAACTGAACACCAGCAGCGGCAGCAGTTTCGACACGAAGGGATTGAGGACGTAATTCCGTGTCACCCAGCAAATACTGTGAAGTTACATACTCGTTGGATCACGACATCAGTGAATTAGTCAGATGACCTATACAACGGTCGCTGAAGGCAGGTAATACAGTTATTGATTTCGTCACTGGTGCCGAATAGTGAACAGTGAAATTAGGCGCTGCAAGACGTCAACGTTAAAGCAAGGATCTCTTCAGACGCGGAACAGGATTTGCTTCGTGACGCTTGACAATCTCTTAACAGAAACAAAAGCGCGCGTTAGATTTAATCACGGTACCGGCTGACCCGCGCTGGTGCTGCCGCTGTAGCCGTGGTGAGGATTTACGAGGTTACGCTTAACACTGCTGGTGCGGGCAGATGAGCGTGAAGCTGAAGTCGAGCCATCAGTGGAACTGGTTAGTGATTTGCATTATACAAGTGGATTATTAGATACGCAGTGCGAAGACAGCCTACCACCATCTACATGCTATAACTACAACAACTAATCGTGTAGCGGTGATTTTACACAAATAAGTGGTGAATGAAAGCCAGTGACCGCAATAGCAATTAGCGGATGATTAGAGCAGCTTGAAGTGTTACATGTGTGCGTGTGGGCGTGTGTGCGGGGTGCCGAGAGATAGCACTTTTGGATTATCAGTGACTGACTCCTATAGGTGGCTTGTTTACGATTGACTAGGAGACCAATTACTGCGCATATAACTTGTAGATAAACATATTATATATATAAAATTAGGAACTTGTTTCGTAGGTGCGAATGTGTGAAGGCCGCGAGAGCTGTTGACGCTAAGGAGTAGTGCCGAGGCGTCAACGAGGATAGACACTCACAAAAATGCCCGTAAGTGACAACGAGGTGCATGTTAAAGGAGCAGATGAGCTTAAATGTATTTTTTTTTCACAATTGAGAAGTAGAAAATTAGGAAACTTGATTTTTTTTTATTGACAAACACTTTTCGGTAGAGCTTATATAGGACTTTTTAATTGCAACGTCGTGACTTTATTATATATGACGAGCAATATTTTCGGTTTCGTAGCTTTCTATAGTTGTCTAAAAGGTATTACTATTCTAATTCTATATACGATATTTCGAGCAAGGAACATCGTCGCCTGGCTTAAAAACTACACAAATCCAGCTCTCGTCCTTTTACTTATATTTGAAAATAATTGCCAGCAAATGAATTTGTTAAACACTTGCAAACGTCAAAGTAAACACGGTCAACTTCCACCGTTCTTGGCAGCCGCACTCATGCCCGAAAAAGGTTGTTATTTAATTGTGATAGTACTAAGCATAAATTCGACACTTCTCTAAAAGGATCACAAGTAAGTTGTGGTCCGATCAAATTGAATGGGCTTAGTTATACAATCCCCCTACACAGATGGGCGGCTAGAAAAATGATGTGCTCTTAAAAACAATTCCCCTACCTTCGCGTGACACAAATAAGGATGAATCATTGCTTGCTAATAATAAGACGTTTCTGACGATATTTATGTCTATTCTTGTGTGTCCGGTAAACATCCGCTGTAGTTCACTATGGACCGGTAAGTGAAAAATAAGTTAAGATTACGTTGAAGGAAGTTTTTGAATCGCCGAAAAAGAACAAGTGTTCAATAATAGCTCAAACAATGATATAAACAAGTAGGTATAACAGGTACCTTTAACGAACAGAGTCTTCATATTCTATAAATATTAGATGGTGTGTACGGCAGGTAACAAACGACTTATCGACGACTGCGAAATCGGGTGCGAAGTTAAGCGACAACGTGTTCCTGAGGTTAGCAGAAAAATACGTTACCCACTAAGCCATCACCGGACCATCTACGGGGTGCTCGTAATAAAATGTTTAGACACTGCGTCGTAATAACAGGTCAAGGCCAATTTAGCAGACCTTGAATAGATATCTGGTCTGTGTTACCAGGAGCAATAATATCAAAGCTAACGGATCCCAGGTAATTTGGTCGGTCTATTGAAGTGTCACATTAACAAAACTTGTAAAAACAGATAAAAGGAAAAGACGGGCTTCGCTAAATATTACCTGATCTTATAATGTAGCAAAATCTAACTAAATTCGGTATCTAGTTGTTATTTGTCTTACAATTATCGCTGTTCTTTGCCGTACTTTGAGTTCTAGTTTTGTCTATATATTGCTTACCAGCAAGCGATGTCATTTTAATTTATTAGGAAATCGTTATCGAAATTATTGAAGTAATGAGTGTCTCTAGTGTCGCATAAAGAGCGCTAAACGATTATTATTTTGGTCTTGGCACGCAAGTGTCCTAGCAAGGAAACCTCCTTATTGCTCTCCTGTTCTTAACTGGCCCGGCTTAAACATCGTAGGTCTCGTCTCTCGCTGCGTGGAAACGCTTTTGAACGCGATTTGTCGCTTTAAGCAGGTTTTGCTACTCAGCTAGCCAGTGGAGGAATTTGACGTTGATGACCTCTTCAACATCTGCTTAAGATTTACTCGAGCACGTACCGGGCTTCATCAGATCCTATCCAGTCGCTTCCGCTTATGTCACACGGTGTTCCACAGGGACGCATTTTTTTATTTTCTGGGTAACGACTTTAACCGAAAGTCGCTTAGGTGGCCGTCTTTCCCCTTTTGTTTATCTACTACTAGATTATTTTAAGTTTCGGTAAGATTAAGATTGTATACAAACAGCGTCACATCTTATGATAGCCACAGACTAAATGATTACGTAACACTAATCTACATGTATTTTCTCAAAAACACGCACCCATATATATATATATATGTGTGTATATGCACATGGCGAAATAGACGCATCCTGGGCATCATATTTACACACTGTCTTCAAGCTGACTGAGCCACTATTGCACATTTTTGTGCCTTCATTTTAAAGATTATTCATACGATAACAATAGAAGAGGCGGCACACTTTATACATTTCTCTGTGACAAATTCTCAGAAGATCTACGGACCAAAGTTACGTACACGCATAATAACTTAAAATTGCCAGTTCATGTACAAAATATGAGATTCTGTCGTAGTTTTTGCCCAAGGTGTAACGGCATCCGTTTGTGAAGTAATAGCGCTCAGGGACGCTAGAACATATCTCTGGCCTGAACGATTAAAATACAAACGCAACGAAACGGATGTTTTCCTAAGATACGGCGCGCTTTTCCGCGATGTCAAGTGAAACGAGTGGATACGTGAGTACTTTCCTTGGTGTGTTGGTCCTTCTTTTCTGGCAACTAAACTAGCCCAAGAAGGCCTGATAAAGACAACTCGTTCTCCCACACTGGAAAACAGCTTGGCCTAGAAAGCGAAGGTCCGTACGGGGCAGTACGATTTGTTTCTTTCCCACGCAGCAAATAGTCTAACCCGGACTCGTCTGTTTTCTGCCGCCCGCCTTGGAATGCATCTCGCTTTGTCGTTGCCTCACTTTTTGGTTCCTTCAGCGGCGCATAGGCCGAGCGACAGAGTTCCGCCGTACCGTTTCTTTACTCGCAGAAAAAGAAGAAGTCATTTGTAAGTGCTGGCTCTTTCTTGCCATTCGGAGTTTGTACTTGGTCCAGTAACGTGAACGGTCCTTGCTTGGCTTGGCAACCGCGTCAGTGACCGGCGTACACTAGCGTCGTGTGCGAGACGGACGAAACTCTATGGAACGCCCGGGCCTAAACATTCGATGCTTCTTAGGCGAGTGTGGAGGTTCTAGTGCGCATTGGAGTCGTGGTCTGTAATTCTGTTAAGTGCTTGGACCCGGGCTGAAGTAGATTCGTCGAGGTGGATAAATGAATGGAAAGGAAAAGACCTTGAAGCTTCGAAGGCCGAAAATAGTAGCAACAACTGTAAAAAAAAAGCAACCCCCGTAAAAGAACATCACAACAGTGAAGGAAAAGAAAGGGAAGGAGCAAACGACTAAGAGAATTGTTTACGGATGTACGCGCGCACCTCTAGATATTTGCCGAATGCGTGTCTGTTCCTCTGCTATTATTGTTAGTTAGTTATCTAGTTAGTGGGTAGCTGGTTCGAATTGCGTCAGTCTTCGTCGTAATGTTAGCGGGTGTAGTAAACTATGTCGGGGCTATAAGAGGCCACCTCTCCTGGTGTTGCTGTTGATGCGGGACTCTTTACTCACGGAGTCTTTCAACTCTGATGGACTATCTGAGTGAATTTTGCTGACAAGTGACGTCCCCCTATTTGAGCTGCAAAAGCAGGAAAAAGCTTGAGGTCGCTAACATGATGGGCACTATGGGCGTAGTATCGATTAGGAGTTGCTGCTAGCCGGATATGTGAGAAGAAATCTTCGAACCTGCTTTAAAACAGCTAGCAGATATATATTCTTGTTGACATCCACTCGATTGTTTTGCAAGTCGCAAATTCAAATGACAAATAATACAGTGAAGACCCGATGAGATCTTCACTTCTATGGCATAGTGCTCCGAATTAAAGAGCAGGACCATCATACATGTTGGGCCACGGTAGACAAACAACCTAATTACGGATTCATATATCAAATATTGATAATTTATGCTCAACGAAGCTCAACCGGGCATTTTTAGGCACACGAGTTGCTGCGAACGCTTTCAAGCTAATAAATCAGTGTACTAAATAATATCTGCAGTGTACTAAATAATAATAGTAATAAAAAATCTTAAACGAATCGCGAGTTAAATATGGTATTGGCGATACAGCGTAATGGACTTCGTGCTAGTTTTGGATTATCAAGGTCTTCTCGCACGTCAGATCGTTTTCAGTGGGTACAGAATTTCTACTGCTTCACAATTACGCGCGTTTCTAGCCTGCTATTTGATGCGCAAATCATCACATAAGGCGTTGCTACTTAACTAAGCGCAGGAACTCCATATGAATTTCCCGAATCAATAACACAGATATCGTAGGAACTTCTTATTGAGCTACATCAGTTACACCATCAAGTATTTAACTTCTGGCTGATCTCAATCGCTATAGACGAATGCGGCTTTGGCGTTTATATTTTGAATAAAGTTTATCTGAATTAAACCATATCACCTTTTTTTGTCAAATATGAGATGGTAAACAATACAACAACCCTTCGTAATATCTCAGCCTGCACTGTTTGATGTCTTTTCGCTTTCGTCAGGCTTTTGTCCTTCCTGTATTAGTATTGGTTCCAGATATATTATCATTTTTTTAAGAAGCTTCTTTGTTCTGAAGTCACGTTGAAGTTATGGCCTCCTAGTCACGCAGTTTTCACATGTGCCCTTTTGTGATGGGCGTATGGTAGGATTTTTTACGCCAACATACGTGACTAACAGATATCAGTTAACTAGCAGTTGTCATAATATATATATATATATAATGCAATAATAATCAAAAAACAAACAAACTTATCGCACCCTCACATATATAGACATATAGTGTGGTGTATTTCGCCTATTTTCTCGCACTCAACAGAGGGTATCTGCTTAGGATGGACTACTAGCATTCCTATGCATACTTACTTTGCATAATTTCGAAATACAAAGTGGTTAACGTGCAACTCTTTTGAGCGCGTTGCCATGCTAATGATGGACGTAGGGCCACCGCTTACCGTCGCCGAACGCTTACCATAACACGAAATTATTAGATCTACTAGAGAAACTTCGAATGTGCTCAGAAAAACCCACTACGGTTAGACTTTCTACTTAAGGCGACGTCCTAGATCCCGAACACTTGTTCACGCAGTAGACAGAGGTGGAAAAACTCGGTAAAAGAGTCAAAGAGTTTTTTTTATCCATCTGCTTAAAAATATCTTGTTCACTGTGTCACGAACGCACCCGAATAGATGATCCTGCTTGGCCTTCAACTATCTAAAATGGTTGCAAATTGTAGCATAACATACGATTTTCCCAGG